TATGGCATAGAACCTCCCTGATACTGAGGGTAACCACTATAATAATGAGGGTCCTGCGAGTACTAATACTGCCTTGAAGTATAAGGAGTGACGTCACCCTGATAATGATAAGCACCACCACGACCAGTCTGGGCATAACCACTAGGTCCTAAAACTTGCTGGGCCGGCGCAGGGTGGTAAGGAAGGTTGCTGGGGCCTCTGTTGATTTTGAGGGCAATGTGCAGCCCTATGCCCTGTCTGTCCACAAGTATAGCATGCATTGCTACCTCTTCTACACTCCTTAAAATGCCTATTATTACACCTGCGGCATAAAGGAGCACCTGAACCACCTAAACCACCAAAGTCCCTCTGCCTCTGAAATCTCGGGCCTCCAGAAAATCTACCACCTCTCATCTGCATATTAGAGCACCCTCCACTAGAAGAGTTGGAACTGATACCACTTCTCTTAAAACTCTGGGTCTTACAAGGTCCTTGGGATGATTGACCTTTACCTTTATCATCTCGCCTCTGGTTCTTGTTCTTTTCTTCTTCATCCTCACTTTCACTGGGCATATTCTCTGAGTCCTTAATTCGTAGTCAAACCTCATAAAACTCCTGGTAAGTGGCATATGGAGTCGATGTCGCTATAGAACGCCATTTCTTCTTAGTACCCAACCTAAAACGACATAGCATCTCGACCGGATTAGCAGTAACTTCCAGATCATATCGAGATAAATCAGTGAATCTCCTGTAATATTCATTCGCCGTCATCTTTCTTTGTTTCAGATGCGTAAATTCTTGTTTCTTGCGATCAATATACTCAGGGGGAATGAATCTTTTCCTGAAACAACTGTTTAAACATTTCCCAATCGACTGCTACCTCTGGTGGCATCTGATAGGACTCCTGTCTCCACCAGGATGTAGGCTCCGGACCTAGAAACCAGGTAGTCGTCTCGACCCACCTATCAGGAGGAAGATTCCTCTGACTCTGTATCACAAGGAAACTCTTCTCGACATGATTAAGTCACTTCTTCGCTCTTTTATGTCTTTCATTACCCATGAAATGATTCGGCTTCAGATTATACATAGTCTCAAGAGGTGTCCTTTGAGGAGGACGGAACGAAGACTGAAAGACATTAGCTATAGCTTCCCCTAACTGAGTAATATCGTGGAAACTAGGCTGAGTTGAGTGACGTGGCTCTCTACGAGGTGGCATAGTTCTGACAGAAGACATCATAATGATTAGATTATTCACAAGATATACAGAACTGCTAAACTAGGCTCTGATACCAAACTGACACACCCTGACTTAAAATCAAGGCGTACTGGCCGTCACGTGAGGGCGACGTAGCCATGTGCATAGTACAGAAGCGATAAGGATATGAAATATACGAATAAATAAGAACCAAAAGCTAACTAATGTGCACTAATAAGTAGAAAGTGTTAGGAATGAGATACAAGTGTAAATACACCTAATCAGAGCATAGAAGTCTAGGTGCAGTCCAGTAGGACAAGTACTAGTTATACAGTACCAGAAGAAGTCTTACGAATAATATACTTTGTTAGAACCGCCAAGATCCACAAATGTCACCAACAACAAGTCTACCTAAAACCTGGAGGGGCACAAAACAGAAAGTTTGAGTGGGAAAAAACAAAGCTTTTCAAAAATCATTTCATTTATCAAATGCTCTAACCCCTCGCTGTAAAACATGTATAATTTCCCCAGAAATGGAATATATATATATATATATATATATATATCAAATCATGCTTCACATATCCAAAATCATAAGTATGCCATGCCAAAAATATAAAACAAAATAAGTAACTCAGGTGAAAATAAATTCATGGAAAATAACATATTAGTCGGAACACCTGCAGAAGTTTGTACGGTTAAATTCATAGCTCATTAATCAATCTAGCCGGAGTCACTACAAGTGACCTATACGACACTACACTGCACATGAGTCGGAACCACTGAAAGGGTCCGTACGACAAGACTTGGTGTAATATAGTTATGCTCAATGCTATGCACTCATGATAACTATGCGATAAATCGCTAGTCACCTACGAGTCGGAACCACCTATGATGGTCTGTACGACAAGATTGTGCACCAAAATTGGATCCAATGTGAGCATAGGGTGCGGGAGGTGACATTACAAATAGGCATGTACCATATCTATGGCTAAATCACAATCATCCGGGGTGCAGGTTTATGAGCTTTCAATCACATCTCATATTATCACTATCTCATATAACAAAAGATAACTCACCTGGTACTTACCTGAGTGTCCATAGCACCAATTCATATTATGCATCATATACTAATTCATATGCTGAATATAAGTTTATATGTATGGCATTTCAAAGCATACTTTCATTTAAACATATTTTCTGGGAAAATATCAAGTATATAAATATATACTGAAAACCAAAAGCCCACTCACTGGTATGTCAAAGGGTCGTAGCCCCTGAGTCGCCCTTGACTGTGCTCGTCCTCGGGATAAGTCTCCCCTATATGCGAAACAACTATAAAAACGTTAATTTAAAGCACATAACCAATACTAGGTAATAACTTCTCATACATTGCTCAACTGAGGTATATAAATATACCATTGTGACCTACACAATTCCATGAACATGCCCAAAATTTTAAAATAATTTTTGAAGCCCTCACGCACCGTCACAGGCAGACAAGGGCACGGCTCTACGTGTGGCCACGCGCAGTGAACTCTAAAGGAATCCCCTAACCCCGTTAGGAATATTCCGTTAAAAAGTAACAGAAACCGTTTATTCTACCTGACGGCGTTAGAATATTCCGTCAAACTTTGATGGAATATTCTCTGTGTTCTACCTTCGAACTTCAGCAATCGTTGCCGTCATCGGAAACTGGAAAATCTTAAAATCCTTGTATCTCAGTCATTCCTTACCCAAAACTCATGAAATTGGTCTCAATTTATAGCTTATAACTAGAAGAACACATCCTTACCAATTTTGAAGGCTTGAAATCCACGAAAACTCATCGGAGAAAGCTCGATAATCCGGTGAAAACTTAAAACTCGTCGAACTCGATTTTCCGACGTCCAAATCGCTTGGTTTTTCTTCTTTGAGCTTCGTGAGGATGATTCAAAGCTCCCAATGTTCTAAAAAACTCCTAAAAACCTCACATTAATTAGTGCATGAACAATGTATGAAATATGGGGTTAGAGTTCTCGGGGTTTTTGAAGCTTTCAAGTTCCAAAAATAGCATATACGAACTCAGAAGCTTATAAGGAGTTCAAATCTTACCTTCTTGATGTCGATCCACGTCTGAATGAGAGGGTTCGAGATTTGTCCGTACACTTGTACGGACGTTGCAGAAAAATCGAAAGGGAGGGGAGAGAGAGTGCACGTGGAAAAGGTTGGGTGTGTGGTGGTCCTACTTGGTCTTCCAATACACAAAACAAACACTTTAAGTCCTAAGTGTTCCAAAACTTAGGAAAATCTTTGAATTGGTCCAAATAAAACTTAATCCACATAACCACACAAAACGTCCAAGGGTAAATAAGTAATTTCACATTGTCGAAAATAAATAATTCGGGACGGGCTGTGACATAAAAACTATGTAAAAATAAGAAATAAGAAATGGCAAAAGAATGTATCCATAGTGTTAAAAAAATTGGTACATTTCACGTATAACAAAGTGGTACATTAATAAAGAAGAATGGGTACATTATAAATAAATTAGGATACAGATAAAAGATTAAAAATTATGAGTACAAATGAATTTTTAAAAAATATAGGCGCTAAAAGAAATTAATACATGGGTAAAAAATAAAACTAAAAAGAAAATACTACAAATTTAAAAAAAAATGTTGCAAATTAAAAGTGGGTACAAACGAAAAATATAAATATATGATACAAAGTTTAGGCATAAAACATAAATATACCATATGTAATTTTTCTATCATTGATAAAATATACAATGTCATGTGACGGTATACACATGGGTACAAACACAAATAAAATTTAAAAAAATATGGGCACAAAAAGAAACTAATATATGGGTACAAATTAAAAATGAAAAGAAAATAGGTACAAATTAAAAAATATTTGTAAATTAAAAATAGGTACAAACTAAAAAAATATATATGATAAAAAATTTAGCCATAAATATAAATATACTAATTGTAACATTTTCAACACTAAAGGAATATATTTAAAAATAAAAAATATTTTACTATTCAAATAATTATTGATGTTATTAATACTCAAGTAATTTGATCAAAAATTGAAAAATGAATAAGATTTTAGTCGATGGAGTAACAAAAAAAAAGAATGTGAACCTAATTTTTCCTATTTTTATATTCTAATTTTTTGTGCACCTATGGTTCACGTGTGTGAAGGAAGAAAATGTATAATAATTAAGCACAAAAATAAGTGAGGGAACGGCAAATGGTGGATTTACCTGTTTGTTAAGTGTTTTTATTTTATTTTTATTTTTAACTCATTGTGTCTTGAGTTCAAATTCGCCTTCATTCTCTTAGTGTAGTTAGAATACACTACAAGAAAAAAAAGTTTTCCAGACGGAAAAACTTTATAGGCAAAAAAGCCCGTTCGTTGGTAGATGATTTACGATGGAGGTCCGTTGACATAAGTTATTAGGGTCAAGCTCGTCGCTCATATATTTACACAACAGACACACAGATCCGGGGGTTAAGAAACTAATTGCCTGATGAGCATGTTTGTCGGGTGAAATAAAATTTACCCAGCGGACATATACTTAACCGGCGATACAGTTAGTCGGTTGAAAAACTATTTACGCGAAATGATGGCAAGGTGCTCGTCGAGATGTCATATTTAAATAATGGTGTGAGTGGATGCTGACGGATGGTCCGTCGGGTATTATTAGTTTAAGAGACAAAACTTCCATTGGGCAAAGTTTTATAATAATAAACAAAATTGAATTTATTAATTAAAAAAATTAACTACAGAAAATAAAACATTAAATACCAAGAGTTAAAAAAAATTATTGTAAAAATAGAAATAAGTATATATAACCCAAAAAAAATTCGTTCGCCCAAAAAATATATTACAAAAAAAGAAGGAAAAAAAGAATCATAAAATATGGTGGGGTCTAGTCACTAGTGGGGCGGCTACTGGAACGATAGCACTGGGGGGATCCTGGGACGGTTGCTAGCGAGCTATTGCAATGGCGGCACAAGCTCGAGGGTAGGGTGAGGGCGGTGGAATCATAATGCCAGAAGCTGAAAAGCTATAGGATACGATTAAGAAGTACTGGCGGACTAATTCCTTTGGGCGCGCCAGCTCTTTATCCTCCTGCTAAAGTCTGGAATTGGTCTAGGTTGCTATAGTGGAAGTCAATGAAGAACAAAACCTGACTTTCCAAACCCGACCTACTCTTAGGCCGTGGACTTCCTTACGGCCAACCTCGTCCATCAGCACCTGGAGAGACACCTCTAGATCAGGTGTCAGTTCCTCCATAGGCATGTCAGGATGCCGCTGGGAGACACGTCAGGATGCCGCTGGGAGAGATTGGCGAGGTCCTTGTTCTTCTTTTGTAAGATTGAAGCCTATTAAAAAAAAAAAAAGAATACTAAGTTAGATTAATTACAAATTAAACCATAACTATAGTAATAAAAATTATAATTGAAAGTTATGAAAAAATACTTACATAAATCCCGTCCTCGACCTCATTGCCTTAATTGGCGTGGTTCTCCCTCCAAACCACCACCTCCGGTGACTTCTCCTCAGCCTCTCGCTGTTCCTTGATTCGGTAAGATAGGGGTTGAGAACCGAAGCGGTGTTCGTACGGCTTCTTGTCCCGATCCCCTTTATTTGCTGTCAAATTTTTTTGTACATTACAAAAAAAATAGTTGAAATGAAGATGAAAAAATAATTATAAAATGATAATTAAAAATAAAAATATCAATGTTTATTACCTTATACTTTTCACTCTCAAAGTGAGTGCAAAGCCAGTCTCACTCACCCACCCTCTCCAGAAACTCCTTGGGAAGGTCCCCTCGCTGCCTCAGGTGTCGGACAAGACTCGTAACACTTGGGCAGCTTGTATTTCCACTTCTTGAACCGCAAACCCCTGGACTCGGTTGACGTACTCCATACAACCCCTGTCCCACTCATTCCACGAAAAGTTGGATTGCAATTTTCAGAAATTCTAGCTCTCATTTCTCATTTTGTATAGAGAGAAATAGAGAGGAGAGAGAAAAAGTCTCTCTCCCCCAATTATAGTTCAAAGAACCCTAACCCACCCATCTTCTTCATCCAAAAGCTCTCTCTAACCCATCCATCTTCTTCATCCAAGCTCTCTCTCTCTCTCTCACTCTCTCTCTTTCTCTTATCTCTTCTCTCTCTACATTTCGAATATGCACAAGAGCTCTCTCTAACCAACTCATCTTCTTTGATTTTTACCTTTTCATTCGTAGGTTTTGTGAACTGGGTTTGCTTAATTTTGCCTTTTGATTGATGGATTTCTAGAGTTGAAGTGATTGGTTTGATGTTTCTTGGAGGAGACCCAAATCCTTCAATTTTGATTTTTGATTTTTTTTTTATCATTTCTTTGATTTATATGTGGGTTTTCATTTCTTCTGTCTTTTCCCTCCCTCTGCTCCCTCTCTCAATCCAAATTTACAAGCAATAAAATAGGGTTGGTTTTTGCTTCAATTATGTGGAAAAATGTATTAAAGGTCAGTTGACTTTTGGAGAAGAGATAAATTTGAGGGAAAAGAGACTAATCAGAGTGGAAAGAAGGAAGAGAGAAGGATATGGACGAAATTGTTTCGCTCATTTGTTCGCTTTCTTCGTATTAAGCTCGCTCATGCACTATATGTACACGACATGCACATGTTATGCTCACAGATCTGAGCTCAACTCAAAAACCCATAACTCACAGCTCTCTCTTTGAAATCAGAAAAATGACGCAATCAGATAAATGACCCTAAACTTTAAATGAAGAATCGAAGATTCATTAATTTGAATTTGGTATCAAATTTGATTGGGTTCAAATATTTTAAGGATTTGAAAAAATTGTAGTTTGAATTGGCACAAAAAAACCCAACTGAATAAAAAGAAATCGTTTAACAAAATTATTTGCTTTTTTGGCATTTGCAGGGCTTGCCTTTGAATCAAAGGAAAAAGTAGTAAACTATGTTAATGCGAAGAGTATCAAAGATGTAAATACTGACCATCTACACATAATACACTATATGCACATCACATGCACATGATATGTACAGTACATTCACATCATAGACACAGAACGAGAGAAACTTTAACGACAACATATTGATATAGTGGATACAATTAAAACATAATTGTTATGTATATAAGATTACAGTGATAGTGACACACCCTGGCCCCAATTGAGGCATGCTGGCTGTCACGTGAGGGTGACGTAGCCATGTGCGCTGGCGGAAGTGAACATGATATAAAAATACGGATAAATAAAAACCAACTAACTAATTTACACAAGGCTAGCATATCAGTGCAAGTGAAAATGTTTAAGGTGCAGGTACATATATAACCAGAGCGTAGGTATCAGAATGCAGTCCAGAAGTCTAATTACTAATTATACAGATCTGTTTGGGCCCAAAAATATTGTTTTAGGCCGAGTTTAGAATGGTTCTCGGCCCAATATTGGTTGGGTAGAGTTTAGAATTCTTAGTGGCCCAGAGGCCGTGTATAGGTGCCGTTGGGGGTTATCTAGCTTATGGGATGCGCGGTCGAAGTTGGCCATATCCCATCAGGGAATTGGGGATGTGGATGAGTCCTATTATCAGAAGGAGTTTCAACAGGATCAGGATGCTGGAATTAAATACAGCTTGATAACAAGTTTTATTCAAAGTCCTAGTAGGAGTAGGATTGGCTGAGGTAAAGTTGGATTAGGGAAATGAGTTCTAATCCGGGAGTGATTGGGATTCAATACAGGTTGGCTGCTATAAATAGGGAGAAAAGACATTGAAACAAGCCTCTCAAATTCAACACACAAATTGTCCTACGCATTCTCTTGCTCTACGTGAAACTTCTCAACAACCTTAAAATTTTTGTTTTCCTCTTTTCGCCAACGCATCTTCAGTTTGGATAAACAGCACTGTGAAGGCAACCGGTGAACATCTTCAGTTTGGATAAACAACACAACACTGTTACTGTAGAATCAGCCGACCATGAAGCATCTTCAGTTTGGATAAATAGGATTGCGACAAGGACGACTGGTTATCTAGTCAAGTCTCGGTCGAGAAGGATTGATAAGGCCAATGCACCTTCAGTTTGGATAAACAGCACTGTGACGGTTGACACGGATCCATTCCCTTCGGTAACAGTTGGCATGGTAGATGCCTATTTGCCCAAAAGCAAAGGGAAAGAGAAAGCCGAGTTTACCCAGCCATGACTCAAGATCGACCTATTTTCTAATGCGCCACCTACCGAGTTTTCAGGACCGGCTATAGTTGAATCCATGTCAGATTCCTGCGAAGAAAAAAATGACGGGCTAATAGTGTTGTGCAGCATTGTAAGGCATACGTTGTATTAATCGAGCCCAAGGAAAAGCTGCCTCAGACTCAGACGACGACGTTACGATAACAATCAGCGACCACAACGACACCTTTAAAGGAACCTAGTGAAGGCCAGGGCTAGAAAGTGTTCGATAGGCTCGACCCCAAGAAACAGACGAACGACTCTACCTCGGTCAGATGACGCCTTGATTTCGACGCACCATTTCAAAATAAGGATTACTATTCACGTAATTCTAGTGGCTCAAGCTCGTCAGCGAATCCAAAAACCTTCAGGCCACTTGAACCACGTGACCAACGTTGGTACATCTACAATTCTCCCATCGGCATGTATACTGCGCTTTCTAAATCTCAGAAATGTTGACATCAGCGTATAGATTGCATGGTTCGACGGTAGGCAGACCAGACTATTTCGACCGCTAAATGGCAGTCGAAAGAGGTGGTAGGGAGCATAGATGATCAGCTAACCCCAACAATCATGGCTGAGTTACAAGGGCAGAAGGAAACCAATTGCTACTTCGAAACTACTATTGAAGAGTCCAAGAAGCGCATCAAACTCCTCATTTGGCCCAAGGAGATGAAAGCTTGCTTCGAGCAATTTAAGAAAGAGGCTGAAAGCCAATTGTCCCTATTACCTTTGAAAGAGCCGCTAATTAGAGTACGGCGGAATCTGCACCTCCCATTCCTTGGCGAATCTTTGGAATACATGAAAGAGTTTCATAAGAAATATTCTGCCAATGATTTGTATGGTTTACCTAAGGCATGCCAAGAAGCTCTTGACCTGGCACTAACTTGCCACAATGCTGAACAAATCATCTAAAAAACCACTGATCCAGCGATGAAAGCTAGATTCCAGCACATATGAGAGGCTAAGGTTCTTGGTTTTGAGGTCGACCCATACATAGACATTGACATAGCCAAACTCCTTTTTTCTCTCGAAGACCTTCAACATCTTCGATATCACTTCGAAGTCTTCTCGACCGTATCCTTATTCGGTTTAACGACTGATGAGGAAGATCGGGTAGCACGTCTGGATGCCTACCTAGACAAAAGGGACACCCGGATCGCCTATGAGGAACGAGCTCATAAGACACTGCAGGAGCAAAATCAGACATTAGGCGCATGTAAGCCCGACGACGACAGTCGAAATACATAAGGTCGGATTACATGGCACAGGAGCAAGAGCATGTTGAGACACAATAATTAGGCCGATGATGCACTAACACATGATGCTATAATTCTCACTAACCTGGAAGATGGTGTGAAAATTTTGTTGACACACAAATTAAACCCTATTGATGACAATTGTAGTATTTAAGCAAGTGTTGGAAGTATGCCCACAAAGCCACTCATTTGATGTAATAGCTTTTGGAATACTTATTGTATTAAACTTTTATATGTTTAATGAAGGGCAAAGCTTATTGTTAATCACTATTTATTGTATCATGTGTTTAAGCAATAAGGGAATCCAAGGAATGTATTTGTTCTAAGAGAGAAGTGATCTAATGAGTTAGATTATCGAGACCTCTCTCTTATGTTCATTCCTAAAACGTTCCTAGCCATAGGATTGCCAATTGGGCATTGACAATCCGCTAAGGTTAGTATGTGTTATGTTGACTCAAACGTGAGTGTGAACTAGTCTCAAGTCATTTGGTGTTGGACACTGAGACAAACACATAGGTGCTCGAAAAAGTAATCGAGTACACTGAACGTCGATCAAAAGAGAGTTCGAACATACATGTCATGTATGAACTCTAAAGTTGCAATATGCAAAGTAGTCCTTTGACCTGAGGCATCATAGATGTCTAATGGTTAGTTCCTTGATCTTTGATCATGTCAATGGCATTCCTTCGGATTGTCCATGGCATTGTTGGGGTCAAGCTATCTAGTCATGTAGGCATATGAATGCACAACAAGGGATCTCTAACCTTCCATGGTGGAATGAGAATGCTCTAAGATATGATTCTAAAGTCTTTGGCCAAAGCATATGAATATGACTTAGGAAGTTTGTTCCAAATCATATTCAATGGAATCATATAAGAAAGTATCACATTGGATAGTAGACATGAAACAAACTATCACTTAAACAATGTGATTAAGAGTATTGTATTAGAGAAGGACCGTATTGCATTGTAGTTGTAACTGGATAGGTTCTCCAACCAATTCTACTTAGCTTGGGTAACCATGATATGCTGCTAGGTGTCACTCATGGTTTGTGGAAGCCCTGAAGATTAGCAAGCACTAATCTTAAGGGAGAATTGAAATGTGGTTTCAATTCACAATCGATCGTTAAGAGTAACATCGCCCACTGCCTCGCTAATTGGAACCTAATGGATCGCACACCACATAAGGATGTTAGTGAAGAAATTATATGAAATGGATAAGCAATTAAATGGTTTTAATTGAAGAATGGTCAAGATTAATTAATTAGTTAATTAATTATACGAAAGGTTCGTATTGGGCTTATATGTTGGTTTTGGGTTTCGGGGCCCAAAAGTGTTTTGGTCCACAAGGCCCATTATGTTTTAAGTTGTATGACAACTAAAACAAAATGGGCAAATTAGCCCAATAACAAGGAGAGGCCGGCCATTAGGGTGAATGGGCAAGCTTGCTTAATTACAAGTTTGCCACTCACCAAAGAAAATGTTATAAAAGCAACTTTATAGCAATTTTCTCATTAGGGTTTTCTAATAGAAATTGGGGTGAAACATTTTCTCTCT